TTAAATGCAGAATATTATTTGGAACTACTCGAAAATCATATTTTACCTGCTTTACATGATGCCGCTAGGGAAAATCAGGAAATTTGGTACCAAATGGATGGCTGCCCGGCACATAGTGGCTGTTCGGGAATATTTAGACAATAGTTTTAACGGAAACGTTATTGGCCTAAATCATGCAGTAAATTGGCTAGCAAGGTCTCCTGATATTTCGCCAAATGATTTCTTTCTCTGGGGCTATTTAAAAAACAGCATATACAAGGATAAAAAATACCCAAATCTAGACGAGTTAAAAAATGCTATTTCTGCCGAATGCAATAGAATTTCAGTTTACCAATTAGCGAATGTAAGAAGAGAATTTTATGATCGCCTGGATTATTGTCTAGCAGTCGATGGAGGAATATTTGAACATCTTCTTAAATCCTAAAGTTCTAACAATTTAATAGTACCTAAATTAATAAGTTATTGAATATTGTAATAATACTATAATTAACCTTGTAATTGATTACTTTATTTTACTTTAATTCATATTAATTTGTATTTATAAATACATCTTTAAGATTTCCGATGTAGGAATGAATTTTCAATAATAATAAAGCACTAAATAGGTAAATTTCTGAAATGACAACTTCATTTGACAGTTATCTTTTACCTTGACTGGTGCTCATAAGTAAATACAGGGCCATATGAAAGGAGAAATATTTTAAAAAAAATCGGCGATAACTAGTAAACGAGTTAATCAAAAATATTAAAGTTATTCTTTTGAATGTGGGTTTTAGTGCTCTTCAATAAACCTAAATAGAATTATTCTTTAAAATAATTAGGGAAGCCAATAATTGACCCCATTAAAATTTATATTGGATTTCCTATGTCCCGTCCGACGATGCAACACCCGGTATAGCTAGCGATATTATAGGTTGTAATACTGTAATTCCAGAATAATCAAAACAGATTCTCTGTAGTAATATACAGGGTGATTTTTAACCTATACGCATAAAGTTGGGAAATTATTGCTGATGACAAATAATGACTAATAATACAAAAAAAGTTAGTAAAATATTTTTATTTACGGATATAACAAACTATCTACATATATAAAATGCTAATGTTTATCTGTATCGTCTCTACTGAAATAACGACTTGCTCTAGAAAGTTGCTTTTTTACTAAAAGATAGCTAATTGGCTCTTCTAAAAACTGTCGTCGCCGGATTTTTTGTTTTTCATTTAAAAAAAAAATAAAAAGTATTTTTTTTTCCTGATGTCGCCAGGCTTCAACTAGTTTGAAATCAAAAAACAAAAAACTTAAATTCCATTAAATTGAATGTGCATTTACTGATAAAGTTTTGTGAAAAAAACTCAAATTATTTCAGAATCTAAAATGATTAATTATTAATTTATCAACTGGGCTGAATAAAAAAAAATAAAACTTCAAATGTCAAAATTCGGAAATAAAACATTCTAGTGTAACATACTTAATATGACAATTTTATTAATACTATCAAGAAACAAAGTTACTAAAATGTTTAATAATGTTTATACAATTTTTGTTAAAAACGATCACATAGTAAACAACAACTAGCAACTACAAATAATAAAAACTATAACTAACTGTCTTGTTTACTAGTATACTATCTTACATTTTGTACATTGTTATTTACAAAAAAAACCAATTTTATTATTTATATTTTATAAAATCATTATTTTATTTTATTACAGTACGCGTAGTCGTGTGCATATTCGACTTTTTGACTAATTAGGATATATACATATACAAATAAACTACTTCCAAAATTTCCAAAAAAAAAGTATTTAATTTTAATCTTGCCGTAATTTTTGTTTTTTACATGCTCTTTTTCATGAAGCATACCGTCTACCGTCCGCGCTGATCGTATGTATTTTTAAGATCCCACGGAGTACTTTCACCTGTGATGTCAATCTGCGCATGTGAAACAACGATTTTCATCATATAGCATGTCCGCCATGTCAAACAAATTCGACTTCTATCAACCCCCGGAACAGGCAGGGTTTAGAAGTGGATATAGTACTGTGGATCACCTTCAGGCAGTCCGCACTCTCATAGAGAAAAGCACCGAATACAACTTCCCTATATATGTCGCCTTTGTGGATTATGAGAAGGCTTTCGACTCTATAGAGCTACACGCCATCCTCGATGCCCTACAAAATGCCAGAATAGACTACAGATACTCGGGCATAATATCATCTATTTACAAATCAGCTACAATGACTATCAAACTGGATGACATAAATATCACAAATAAAATTAAAATGGAAAGAGGAGTCCGACAGGGAGATACTATTTCCCCCAAACTTTTTACACTGGCTCTGGAAGACGTATTTAAGAAACTGAACTGGGACAAGAAGTGTATTAGGGTAGATGGTGGGATGCTTAACCACTTGCGCTTCGCTGATGATCGTTGTCCTGGCCTCATCGCTGGAAGAACTTCAAACAATGCTCGAACAACTTCACCACACATCTGCGCAAGTAGGTTTAAAAATGAATTTGTCTAAAACTAAAACCCTAAATGAAAATGAAGAGCAAGTTATTGTTAATGGACAAAGGATTGAGAACGTTAAAGAGTATATATATCTAGGTCATGCCATAAAACTCAGCAAGGAAAATCAAACAACCGAAATTTCTAGAAGGATCAAACTCGGATGGACAGCTTTTGGTAAACTTAACTTTATATTCAAAAGCAAAATCCCAAATAGCTTAAAAAGAGACGTTTACAGCAAATGCGTCTTGCCTGTCATGACCTATGGTTTGGAGACTGTGACGATGACGGCACGAAGTGTGAACAGGTTGCGAGTGAGCCAAAGAGCTATGGAAAGAGCCATAATGGGTATCAGTCTTCGCGACCACATTAGAAATGAAGACATTCGCCGACAGACGAGGATAACGGACATCGTAGAGAGGATGGCTAACTCTAAATGGTCTTGGGCAGGACACTTGGCCAGACAGACCGAGGAAAGATGGGCAAAAAGACTTCTTTGCTGGAGGCCACGCCTAGCAAAACGCCCAGTCGGCCGACCTCCTAAAAGATGGACTGATGATATCCAAACCGTAGCCGGTAAGAACTGGATGAGGAGAGCACAGAATCGAAACGAGTGGAAGAAACTGAGAGAGGTCTACATTCTGCAGTGGATGAGTAATGGCTGAGAAGAGAGAAGAGAGAAGAGCATATGCGCACGCGGATGGTCCGTCGAAGCAAGTGCACGATGGTCATTCACGCTCATTAGTTCTGTCACTGGGGATCAAAAAAGGGGCCTGCTTGGAAAAAAGTCCGGAAGTTTTGAAACTTTGCAGGTTTATAGGTTTTGGGGTCCCTAACTAAAATCCATAAAATGCACATTTCCAGACTTGCCGCCGGCGCCGCCATCTTTCCAAGATGGCGCCCAAAATCGGTATTTTGTAAATATCTCGAAAACTATGCGTTGTTTCATGACAAAATTGCCACTGTTTCATGACAAAATTGAAGAAACTAAACTAAAACTAGTTTTAGTGAACCCTAATCGACATTTGATTTCTGAAAATCGACTGCCTCTACATAATACGAGTTTATCATATTTTACGCAAAATTGTAAAATTTCCAGGGATTTTGTGGCTAAACGGTTCACTTTAGCAAAAATTTCCATAAAACTTTTTTTGTAGGAAATTTTAATTTTCTCTTTAATTTTGCTCTCTTCAAATTTTCGCGAAAAACGCATAGTTTTCGAGATATTCACAAAATACCGATTTTGGGCGCCGTCTTGGCAAGATGGCGGCGACGGCGGCAAGTCTGGAAATGTGCATTTTATGGACCTATAAACCTGCAAAGTTGCAAAACTTCCGGACTTTTTTCCAAGCAAAAATCCCCAATGACTGAACTATCATGTGAAAATATAAACTCATGACACTTGTTCAGCAAACGGACCATCCGCTTCATGTGAAACAGCACAACAGGAACGATCACCGCAGACGGTCCGCCTCATGTGAAACAGCTCTTATGTTCCTATTCTTAAATCATAAAGATTAAAAAGCAAAAACAGTCTTATATTCTTTTTACCTCTTATTAATAAAAACAGGAGTATACATAGGTATATGTTTTGTGCCATTCAATGAACCAATAAATGAACACATTTTGAACTTAGCGAAATTAATTATTTTATTGTATATAAGTATTGCACCGTAATACTTATGTAAAAATAAATATAAATAAATTTTATCAACAATGTAGCTCAAAAATATCAATTTTCTACTTAAGTACCTGCGTCATCGTTTTCTTTATAAATCTTTAATAAGAAAATAAGATTCATTTATTATTGTACGACTTATGACTTGATACGATGAGGTAAATACACGTTTTAGATACCTTGAAGGAGTATACTAAGGGCTGGCAAAGGTTAGTCTTGGGTCGAGATTTCCGTATGTAAGAAGAGTACAATGGCGTTTATAATGTACTGAACAAAAAGGGAACAGTAAACACGTTGCCAAATCGATCAAATCGTTGTTGGTCGACCCAATCAGTACCTCTGTCAGTACTTAAAGTAAAAATAAGTGGAATTGAGTTGGTTTTCGACAGTGATCGGGCTATTAGAACTCTGAATTCAAAAATGGATATCTCGAAATCTATTAGAAATAATTAAAAAAAAAGTAAGTGAACATTTTTTTCTCGTTATAAAAAATTACACCTTAAAGATATCCTTATAATTCCATTTCAGATGCTCAGAAACATTTCTAATGATTTTATCTAGTTATCTTTTCAAAAAAAAGTCTTTTAAAAATAAGCGGTTTGTGATCGTGATTTTACTTTACTTGATAGGGAAGGCGTACCGGCAACGCCGCAACAGCACTCCGTCGCATTTTTCTCACTCCGACTTAATAAGATCCCTATGCGATTTACTTCCACACATGTAAATACCGACCCAAGAGTAACAGTTGCCAGCACGGTATATCCTAATCACTACTTTGTACATTAAAAATATACAAAATAAGATCATAATGCTGAATATTAAGTATCTATATTACAGGCTAAAAATTACCCAACTATGGTGAAATAGGAATTTCAGTTTGGACCCGATTTCTTCGCTTGTAGATAAGTATTTCAATAGACCAAGAGATAACAATACAAACGAGGATGATGTCCAGAAGATGAATACAGGTGTCGTAATCGAAAGCATCTTTGAGCATACCTGAAATATTTTTAACAAAAGTCAGTTACCAGGAAAATAATAAAGTATGAAAACTTATTTCATGTTGAAATGATTTGATATGTGACGCTATACTCTGTTTTTTTTCTCAGGTAAGATTTTGACAGACGATAACAGAAGAAAAGCAGATGACGTCCCATACCAATCTATTTATTTTACTAAAAAAAGTTTCTAATAATTTTTAAGTTAACAATGGATGGGTTTAAATATAAATTCGTCATGCGTCGTCACTTGTTGTTTTTAACCAGTTCTATTGGTTTATTTCAAAAATGACAGATCGTATTTCAATTTTATTGGTTTGACGGAACGATGAACGACAAACGGACGCCGATGCGTATGAACTCGCCTTTAGATTTTTGACGTTTGTCAAAGTCTTGCCAAATTATAGGTTATAATTTTATGACAACTTTTGTCAAATACCCTGCGTTTTGGAAGATGATGCATTTTGATTCGTGTTATTACGTGTGTTTTGTGTCTTTTGAAGTCAAGTGGAGGAAAAATCGAGTGAAAATTAACTGTAGAACCCAGAGCACAGTTTATGGTTAATACCCGCTGCCCAGGCAGAAAGTCTGATACACCAATAAAGTTACTATCAATAAAGTTCGTATACCATCTCGTCGTAGATAAGTGCATCGCGACGGTAGAAGGACCATACTAAACACATACTAAAAACTGGAGTAGCTGTAAAATATCGACACACGATAGGTAAATAATGGATTTTAGTACTGCAGAAAAATAATGTCAAAAGGTACTGGTTTAAAAAAATTAAGATTAAAGTTAATTAATCAACCTGTGAGGTATAAAACTTGGTAAGTATTATTATTAATAAAATAGTTGTTTTATTTATGTTGTTTTATTTATTCCTGCGGAATATTACAAATTTGTATTTGTACATAAGTTATATTGATAAATATAATCATAAATGCGGGAAGTTTCATAAAGCTTGAAAGTAAGAAATAGTTCTTTTTTATATTTTTTGGTATGTGGTGTCTAGTTTTTGTTTGTTTTGTATTAACACATACCATTTTTTATTAAATAAAATAACTCGATTACATTTTTTCAGTTTTATACAGTTTTTTTCGCAATATTTTGAAGTTAGTTGTCAGTCAAATTTTAAATATATATATTAATTTCCTGCTATGCGTTCCGGTTGTACCAACTTATTTCTTTGTAAAATAAAATAAACTACTTTGAAATTAAAATGACAGACACATCTATCACTGTCAAGGATCTTCTCGTTGGACAGACTATACATAATATGATATCTACCGGGTGCGTTTCAAAAGTGGCTCACCCCCTATATTCTTTTTATTTTTTCAGATAAAAAAACGAGATTTGGTACGGTATTTGGTATTTTATGATATAAATTAGGATTGATTGACGTATTCAATTGTTTTTGGCCACTTCCTATTTCACCGGAAGTGATGACAACTTTTGATCTCTAAGGTCGCAGATATTAACCCCCCTCCCACTTATTCTAATTCTCTAAATTCTAATCAACACGCCTTTAGGGTGAACCAAATGAACTAGTGATATATGGGATCAATTAATAAAAGACTTACCAAGTGGTTCTCCGACGGCCATAACGAAGAAACCTTTAACGAACATGTTAAGCCCAACTGCAGACGGTAACTCATTTTTAGGAATATATTCTGATATTACTAAGTTCTGGTTAATAACGGTTACTGCTCTGACGTATCCAACTATTCCAGATACGATAATCACCATTTTGTATGTAGTCGACGATACTAATACTGAAAAATATTAACTGATTAATAATTATTCTGAAACAAGTTTTACTATAGCAATATACAGGGATATATATAGATATAAATTCACCACATACGACACGGAGTATTGTAGCTAAACTATGAGATTTTTACAAATTATAAGTTTTGGGTTCGATGAAGGACTATTAGAGGTACAATTTAAAAATATTTTTACAAGATACAGAGTGTCACAAATAAGTAAAAAATATTATAGTTGTATTTTTTTAAATGGACCACCCTGTATATTATTCTATTTTTGGATTCCACGATTTAAATAAAGGTAAATTTGATTAAGGTTTATTATACTTAAACCTTACCGTTTTAGAAATATGTTCAATTTTATGAAATTGCAGTAAAAATTTTAAGGCTTGATTTCTCCAAGGGTATCAAAGTTTTTAATACTCAATATTTACTGAAGATTATTGATTGATCAGATACTGTGTTGCAATAATAAAAAATGTAATATCTTATACAGAGTGTCCAAAAATTTATATTAAATAATTACTAACTTTAAACGGCAATAACTTGTTTAATTTAAATGGAACACCCTGTATGTTTTACGTCAATCATATGCACAATTTAATTGTCTATCAAATTTTATTATACCATTTTTTACCTTTCTCTTCAAATTTTCCTAGAAAATGCATTTTCTGATAATTTAGACCTCATCTATACCTATGGAATATTGACTTTTCAGATTTTTTTAAAGCAATATAATAAGATGATAAGAGAGATATATGTATAATATGTTTTTTTTCGAAAAATTACAAGTTATAGCCAATTCTTTTCTTTCTTGGCTAATTCTCATACCAATAATACCATGCCAATTAGTTGGCATCAAAAATGTAAAAAGTTTTATGTTTTCAAAAAAAAATATCGTAAAATTCGTAAAGCACTCAATTTAGAATAAAATAATCTAAGAATGAAATGATTCTTTTATAAACCAGCATTAAATCAAATTAAAATAGGTATGTAACTTTTTTCTAAATATTTATTAATAGCAATTAGCATTATCATAAATTATAAATAATGTACCAACATATCGAAATAATAATTTCTTTGTTAATACAGTTTAGAATTCTTAAAATAACAGGCAAAAATAATCCACAATTTACAATAAAATAAAAGTTTCGTTTAAATTCCTTAATCAGCTGATCACTATTAAAGTTCGCAGAAACTCGGGCTATATTATTACATTACTCTGAGGAAAATAACGAAAATAATCGATATTTTTGACTCCACCCCGAAAGGTTCACGATTTGTCCTCCAGTTGGCAGCACATTTTGTCTAGTCGGTTGGGCAACTTTAAGAATATATAAACAAGGATAAGATATAAATAATACAGTGACGACCTGCAAATGGTTAAAAAAATAATAATCTTGTAGCATTTTCTTTAATTCCTTAAAAATAAATATTGATGGAACAATAAATTAAAATATTTTAGATGCAAGTGTACACTAAGTATTATGTAGTGTACACTAAGGTCCTTAGTGTACACTATAGAGACAAAATTATGAGATGCTGCCTCTGAAAAAGTTTTGGAATAAACAGTTTTTCCTCAGATTTATCCATGGTTTTACCCAGACGCTTGTTTTTTAATTTTTTTCTAACTAAGTACGCAATTCTTCACTTAACGTATGACAAAATATTTACACCACATTTAACAATTTCTGTGGTATCCATAGTTCTTGCACAATAACTTGATTAGTGTAAACATACAATTTTAAAACGTTCAGTTGCAAGTACTCGCAAGCAAAACTTGCATCGTGTAAACGCCGTTTAAATATCTGAAGTTGTAAAAAAACATAAATTGAATAGAAGTTTGTGTCCATGGATTTAAATCCAGTAGCATTCTATATAAAACATCATTATTATTTCTTTAGGTTTTTCAAAAATTATTTCTTGAAAAACAGTATTTTAATTTTCAGCGCTCTAATTAATTTAATAGAAATATTAAGTTAAATTAATTTTCTCATAATGACAGATATTCTTTTTAAAATAAATTACATACCCAACTAAATTTTACAACATATAAAAACGCAAAAGAAATAAAATGTACAAAAATAAAGAAAACCATATACTACAGAACTCAACGTTTATGTTGTCAAACGAAAATAAAAATATTTTTAAGGGAGCCACTTTTACTCTGCTACATAATATTTTTGTAATTTTTTGAGGTTTTATTATTAAAGTTGTACTACTCTGCACATGGTGTGTTTTGACGCGTTTTATAAGGGAGTATTTTTTAAACATCTAAAATCTTGCATTATTATGTTTTATATTTTTAATATAGGTCCATTTATTTATCTAAAAGGGTCATTTTAGCTCGACAGTAATTATATGTAATAATATAGACAAAACATTATTGTCATATTACTAGGATATTACAGACTATTTTTATTATAAGAAAAATGCGACAAATAGTATACAATAATTGACAAAAACCCCAGAATTATTTTCAATTCATCTGCTGTCTTCCCAAGTAGTGTTTCAAAACATTTTTAAAATGCCCAAGTTAGCATTAGTATGATTTTATTTTTGATTGAAATTTATATCTAAACTAAATTCATATATTATGTTTTCCAAAATAATATATAGGGTGCTACAAATTCGAGGTACGGGCATTGGTATCTCGGTAACTGTAATAGATACTGGTTAAATTGGGATAAAGTTGCGCCTTCGGATGTTCACTCACAAGCTATTAAAAAAGTTTCAAAAATTTCAAGGGTCGCTGAGTTTTTTGAAACAAACGATTTTTTGAAAAATCAATTGAATTTTTTCAACTTTAACGATTTTTGACAAACTTTTCAGAAAAGTGAATTAATCGCACATTTTCATAGCCACTTTATCAGGCCAATCTGATAGTATTTTTATATTTTCAAATTAGCTAATAGTTTCTGATATACAAAGCCAACATATTTTTTTGTACGCACCTCCATTGTTTATTTCAAATTTTAAAGATTAATTCAGTCTCCTGAGTACAACGATATGCAACCTAACCTCACCTAACCAAACATTTTATAGTTTTTTTGGCCACTTTAATAACACTATTTAAACTAATACCAAACGTCGGGGCGCAACGTCGGCACAACCTCGTGCCAACCCTAGTCTGCACTAGTTTGGAGAATAATTTTTGGGTCGAAACGACGTTGGATACCGACGTTGGCTAGCAGCCTAATTTAGTACAAACTGCAACGTTGTTTAAAATCCTAATTCACAGAAATATAAAACTATAATAATATGGCGTCTAAGTCGCGTTTTATCCTAAATTGGGATAATTATAGTAAAAATATTATTTTTATGATCTAGTTATATGCCAGATGACAGTAAAGGAAAACCAAACAAAAGTATTTAAGTGTGGAGGATGTTTGAAGATGATAATTATTGAAATACTTTAACCAACTCTGCAACTCGTTACCCAAGGCAAAAAAGTTAAACGCAAACAACTTTATTGATAAATGTATTGCTTCTACTTTGAAAAATACTAATGGGCCTTAAAATTAAAGAAGTTTTAAAAAATTTCTTGAATTTTTTTTAGTAAAATGCGAATAATCTATTCGCAGTCGAAAAAAAACTGTTTCCGCGTGTTGTTTAGGGTCAAATATATCAAGTTAATGTATTCAAAAAGCAGGAATTGCTATTTTAGGAATGAAACATTTTCTTATTCAACAACATGGCGGCTTTCACTTTGTTGTTTTGGAGATTAAGATGGAGTAGTTCGAGTAGTCGCATACTGGACTAATAAAGTCGGAGTTCAGCCTTAACAGGTAGTATACTAGTTGCAAGATTGCCTAATTTAGTCATCCTAGAGCCTAACTTGTGCCGCCCTCTAAATTCTAAATAAACGAGGGAGTGGATAAAGTATCGGTAATATGTCGATGTATATTTAAATTTAGTTTTATATGTGCCTTTCCATTTTAATTAAGTTTTTTTATAAAAACAGAAACAACACTGAACTGTCTGACTGAACAGAACAATGAAGTGAAAATTTAAGATTTAAGTTTATGGTTCAATACAGTTGCAAAAAGGTAGTGGCTCGACGTCCTACCAACGTAAGAATAAGGAAATCTAAACAACGTTGGAATTAGTAAAACAGACGACGTTTGCATAACGTTGGAATAGGTCCTGAAAGTGACGTCGGAAAACTCTTTATTGCCCAACATTGTAACTACGTCGTCCGAATCACATAAAGATCACTTAAGCAAAAAAGGTTACAAGACAACGTTTATTCGACGTCGCAGAAGCTTTTACTTTGTTGTAGTACTAGTTCAACGTCGGCACAACGTTACAACAACGTTTACATTTATTTTAATACCCAAGGTACGGAGCTAACTATTTTTTGTAACTAATCCAACGTTGTGTTTAGTAAATATGTGGTCACATGTCGTGAAAATGCTACTTGGGTTACTTTTATACCCAGAAAAAGAATATATCGGCTTACCTGATCGAGCTATCGCCAACAATATAGCTCCTAACATAAACTGCGATCTGTTTCCTAAATTTAATTTTCTACAAATTTCAGATATAGTCATCCGCCCCACGATGTCAGCCGCTGATAGTATGGTCATGCAGGTGGTAGTTTGCCACATGTCAAAACGCACCTCGTCTTGCAGAAACATCGGAAAGAATGTGCTGAAACTTATGGAACTAACGTAAGCTAATCCTAATCCAAGGGACATGTGGACGAAACGGAAATCTTTCAGCAGATGAAGGTCCCATGTTTGAATAATCTTTTTAAAGCAAGAATGCCGTTCTTCGTTTAAGCTTTCTGAAAATAGATGGAAAAGAAAAATTTCAACGGCTATGTCGCATTTTGTTACGTCTGTCATAATTTAAGTGTTTCAAACATAATAAAATATCTGAGCAGCAAAAATATGTAATTTTATAAAAAAAGATGAAAATAAGATTATACGATTAAACAAAATATAAATTAGAGAAACAGAATTTTAGACAACTAACGTCAAATTATCTGTTTGATGCACTTTTTATATTTAGATATTAAGTTCCAAAGTATGTAGCAGGCTATGGAAAAACACGGATTACCAGTAAATGTCAAATAGAGATGCTTGTTGCCAGTGTCAGTCGTTTTCGTCCTTTTATTATATCAAAAATATGCAACGTGCACGTGAATCAAGAAATCTTAAGGCGGGTTCTCACTTGTCAGTTTCGCTGACGCAGTCTGACTGATTCAGTGATACTGAACAAACAATGAACGTCAGAACACATTTTCATGTTAAATGATCAGTAAATTCTTACTTTCAGTTAAAGTGAAAACCAGTTCTACTTTTTTTCATTTTTGACTGATCATTATCGAATAATGAATAGAAACTGAAGCGTGAGAACTACATTTTCGTGATTTGTTCAGTTTACAAGTTAAAGTTAATTAATTATTTTAATATATTTCTCCAAAAAAATCCTTTATAGGTATTTCGCAACTGCACTGCAAGAAAATCTACAAAATAAAATAGTTATTTTTTGTAAACACTTCTGTGTTAAACCTAAACGGACACTGCTTGTCAGAAGTTATGTTTACAGTTATACAAATTTGCCTAACAAAGAAAAAAAAGGTTAACGTTTCGGAAAGTAAAAAAAATCAAAGAATAAAGAAAAAAACTATTTAAAATATTTAAATTCAAACTATTATGAGAACACTTTAGTTTTTTTTTAAAGCAGATGCGTCTACAAGAAACCGTTGACGTTCTGTTAAAATAGAACGTCAACGGTTTCTTGTAGACGTATCTGCTTTTAAAAAAAAACGTTTTCTCTTTGGTTTTCTTCTTTTCTGATTCACCAGCATATCCTGTAATTAATTTTCTAATTGTAAACAAACTTCGCGAACACCTGGTTTCAATTTTGTTTCAACCATTTTCATGTCTACGAAATCACCACGTTAAAATGTTTGGACCAACTGAATACTGAATGTAGCAAAACATGAAACGTGTGAATACAATCGTTGATTTTTATTTTTCATTGAAAGTGAATCAGTCACACTGCGTCAGCGAAACTGACAAGTGAGAACCCGCCTTTACTGGCGAAGAATGTGCTCAAGCATTAATAATGTCTGAGGAAGGTTGAAGCTACCGAAGAATTGGTGAACGATTTAATGTAACTCACCCAACCATTTCACGAGTTATTCAACGGTATAGTGATACTGGGAGTAATTGTCGCAGACCGGGACAAGGCAGGAATCGAAGAACCAATCCGATTCAGGAATCTTTTTTAAAACTCTCAACATTCAGACAACGTTTCGTAACAGCTCGGACCCTTCAAACTCAGCTCAGAGATACTAATGGTCTACAAGTTTGCACAGAAACTAGCATGTCTATTTGACATTTACTGGTAATCCGTGTTTTTCCATAGCCTGCTACTTACTTTAGTGAGTAAAATGGAAAAATGTTAATTAAAACCAATATTAAATCATGTCATCCTATAAAATGTTGTTTCTCGTGTAATAAGGAAGATAATGGAGTAAATAAAAAAATAAAATGTAAAAAAAAGATAAGGCTAAAATGTGATTTGAATTTTAACTTGATACTGTAACTGATCAACTCTACAGGGTGTCACAAATTTTATTAAAAAAACACGTTATAATTGCTACACCCGGTATTAGTATAAAAAGGGTTCCTATCAAAATACAGTTAGTATAGCAACATTGTGGAAAGAATAACCTATCATTCAAAAAAAAATCGTCCAAATCGGATAAGTGGTTTTGACAAAAACTTAACTTAAACTTTTGGTTATTTTTTTGTGGTGCGTTAATTTATTGGGGAAGTGTATATTGATTTAAGTAATTTTACTGACTTAACTTGCAGATCATCACGATTTAATCGATAATATAGACTTAAGTCATAAAAACGACTTAAATATAAATATTATAAATATTATTGCGGCTTTGTTTATAATTGACTATTTCTCTAAAATTGTTACTTTTTAAAAACTTATTTCATTTGAATTGATATAAATCAATCATCCTTACCTTTAGAAATAACTACGACATTATCTGCTACGTTATTCTGTTTAACTTTTCCTTCTTTCTCTAACAAAGTTTGTGATTCTCCTTTTCTTTCATCTTGCCTCTTCTCCGGTGGTTCATTCAAGTTTGTATTGCTGTTCAGGTCATACTTTCCACTTTCAATCTCCTCATTTTCCAATTTCTTGCAGCAGAACATTGGCTAAAAACCAATTCAAACTGGAGCAAAACAATAAAGTAAGACATTACCCGAAATTAGTAGTTATTAGTTTCAGATTTATAGATTTTTAGATCTTAAAAGTTTTCTATACGTGTGATCAAAAAGCGATTTTAATATTGCAAGCTTTGTATAATTACAAATAAACAAATATTTTAGGAGATAAAAAATAAGTTATAAAAATTTAAATACGACACAAATATTTATACATTTCAATTTAATTTGCAAAAAATATAAAACACATATTTTAAATTATTATAGATACCTTGAAAAAGAAAGCTCCGATCATACCACAACAACTTATGCATCCCAATATTAAAGTTGTACCACTGAATTCAAAGTTTTTCAATAAAAGCCCGACAACTATTGGCATCACCATTTGACCAGTACTAGTTCCAGCCATTGATAAACCAACTGCAGTACTTTTTCTGGTTGTAAAATATTCACTAATAGCTAAAAATGTTGATGACGCTACCAATCCCAAACCCAAACCTGGAAGAGAAGATTAAATTTACCATTCTTATATCTAAAAAAGGGGAGAGTTGAAAATTTATTATAATAAACTGATAACCAAGAAATATAAGTACGTTTTATTAAAAGTTTCACAAGATTTTATTTCACCCTCTACAATACTAAGAGAAACAAGTTCAAGGCATCTTCATATTTCATTGTGAAGATTAAATTAGTATATTTGATAAAACGATGAACATCCATTAGATAAAAAAGTTGTAGTTCTAAGAAAATACATATAGGTAATACAAATATTCGTATTCCCTATAAATTGTAAATAAGGGAGCTCAAAACAAAAAATAATATTTTGAGCTAATGTAAAACTTTAATATTTAGACTATTTTAATAAAATAATAGGTACGCAAGTTAGGTAAAAGTAAAAAGTTGTAAATATAATTTTTTTCTCTTGTTAATACAATGAATGATACAATGAACAGGTCAATGGTAATCTGGCGCCAAGTCGAGCATAGCTGTACCATCCTTTTCTCGAAGGTATTAGCGGCACTTTTGACCACCCTATAACTTCATTGTAGATATAGCAAGAATATTATTGTAACTAAACATGACTATAGCTACTAAAATTTCTAGTAATTATACCTCATATTTTATAAATTATCGCTTGTCAAATTTCTTTAATTTCGAAATTGACTCACTGACACATCATCAAAATTGGAAGGTACTTCTAAATGTGCCACAAACTTCAAATTTTGAATTTTAGGTAGCTTTAAACTTATATCATTACTACTGTGTACCAGCGACTTCGTTCGCGTCGAATTAATCATTTGTCATGGTGATGATAAAGCAAAGCAAGAATTTCCATTAACATACAAACTGGATAAAATTTTCTCACATTTATGTCGGCATGAGGAAAAACAATATGGCGATATTATTATATAACTTACGGTAATATTTGAGGGGTAGTTTCATCTCGTTGGAATTTGACTTTCGAAAAATCCGTTTGCCAAAAATAAGCTTTTTATGTCAAGCAGTTTAAGCAGAATCGTGGTTAAGAAATTACCCAACTTTTTGGAACACCCTCTATAATTTTTTAAAAAAATTCAAAATATGTAAAAAAAAACAAATAAATTATGCTTGTCCAAGCGTTTTCCCGAAAGACTAACCGTTTTTTAAATAACAAATATTGTAATATTTGAGGGGCGTTTTCACCCTCTTGGAATTTGAGATTCGAGAAACCCCTCCTTATCGAACCTCTACACCCCACAATCAATCCGTTTAGCAAAAATCAGCTTTAAACGTCAAGCAGTTCAAGCAGAATCGTGATTACTCAATGGTCATATTTTATGAAACACCCTGTGTAAATTTATAAAAAATCTTAAAATATGTAAAACAACAAAATAAAATATACGCGTTTAAGAGTTTTTCCGAAAAACTCACCAGTTTTTAAATAAAAAATATTTTAATATTTGAGGGATAGTTTCACCCCCTTAGAATTCGAGTTTCGAAAAATCTCTTCTTATCGAACCTCTACACCCTAAAGTCAATCTGTTTTCCAAAAATCAGCTTTTTACGTCAAGCGCTTTAAGCAGGATCGTGATTAATCAATGCCCGGATTTTTCGAAACACCCTGTATACATTTTTAAAAAATCTTAAAATATGTAAAAAAACAAAACAAGATATACGTGTTTAAGCGTTTTTTCGGAAACTTGACCGTTTTTTAAATAAAAAATATTGTAATATTTGGGGGGTGGTTTCACCTCTTTCTCTCAATCGAACCTCTACACCCTAGAATCAACCTGTACGCCAAAATTGAGCTTCTTACGTTGAGTGATTTGAGCAGGATCGTGATTAATCAGTATGTCAGTCACTTAAGGATTTTATATATTAGTATAGATAATTTTGAAGAATGAGGAATATCTTCAATCACATGATCGTAGCAATCGTACGGTATTATGTGAAAGAAAATATGTTTGGCTTGATAACTTGATAATGCCTATGAGTAAGCCCAATCACATTTGTCTATAAATAGCGGGGAGACACAGATGCTAATACAAAAATTGACAAATATTATATTTACAACTTATTTCAGTATATCGGTATTGTTAATTTAACATTTTATAGAATGTCCTTTGCCATCACATCATTTTTACCTAACTCTGCTGAATATAAACTATAGTCTGTGAAACGAATAACTTTGAATTTGACAGTTCCCGCGGGGTTTTCTAGTGTTAATTTTATTAGGTTAGCAACTTGCGGCCATGCTGACGTAATGCCGTCGCTAATAGGAACAGCCTCGGAGCGAGATTTATGACGTCACGCTAGTTAGATACTACGGATTAATAAATATGTTGTAGAATACATGGAAAACATAATAATTATTCCTCGTATTTTAGGTTTGTATTTTAAAAATTATAAAGTTTCCATAAAATATACAACATACAGTTAATAAATACAATATATATACCAATTTATAGTAATAAATACTTTGGCAAATAAACTATGAACCATACAAATACAGCAAATGTTTTACAATATACAAATAATGAATAGCTACATAAGATAATGGGTAAAATGTAAAATATATTTTAAATTTTGGGGTTTGAAAATCGATCTAATTTAACAAAAAACATTCAATATCTACTAATAGTGATGTATTATTATTTGCATTCACAAAATGTATATGTATATTTTGCAAATATCAATGTACAAAAAATTATATTTGCCAATAATACAATATCATAGAAAAAAAGGCGTCAGCGATGGCTATGAAATAAAAATCGCTGTTATTTTATATGTAGAATTATTCTAAAATTTTTCATTTTCTTGAGATTTAGGTTCGGGAAAAACGCCGATTAAGTTTTCATTTGGTTTTTCATTATTTTTTTTGGTTAAAAAAAACGTTTCGGCTAACATTATAGCCTTCATCAGTGTTCTCTCATATGAAAAAAATAGTGTCGAATATAATCCAAAAAATTACATTCACAACCTAACCTAACACCACATAGTATTTACTGCAATTAATACATTAATATTAACTTGTCAAAAGATGGCCACATATTTTTTAAAATTATTATTCTTAGCTCTAAAACTATCTACATTGACTATGGCTGAAATCGTACTCCATAGTCAACGTAGATAGTTTTAGTGTATAATATTTAATGTTTTCCATGTATTCTACAACATAATAATTAATCCGTAGTATCTAACTAGCCTGACGTCATAAAGCTCGCTCCGAGGCTGTTCTATTAGAGACGGCATTGGTCTGATATTTAGAAATGTCTAAAGCTGATGACATATTACTTTTGAAAATTATAACATTTCGTGTTGATTTTTGCAAGAAGAGGAAGAACTGTCACTTGTTTTATTATTTTCCTTTTCTATTTCGTGAAAGTAAAAAGAGTTACCTATCTGATTCGTTCAGGCACTCAATTTAAAGAATACCAGTAACTTTTTTGCCATGTTGGTAAAGAATAACGGTCAAAATTCAAAGTTATTCATTTTATAGACTTATAATGATTAATTAATAACTAAGAATCTACACATACTTTTATTACCCTTAATAGTCTTTAATTTTAAACAGAAATATTAAAGAGAATATTGTCTTACTTTTTATGACTACGACGAAGAACCATATACGACCGAAAAAAAGCATCAGAGTTGGTTTGGAAATGACAATCGATAACGTTTTATGTAAAAGTAAGTAAACGATAAATGTCACCGGATTTTTTTGACTATACGGTACTTACACAATAACACTTACCCGTAAAAATTCCATAGCTAATAACTATATGCCAAATTCCTGTGGCAAAACTCGACAAAATCATTCCAGCACCGACACATAAAACCCCAAAAATAGTAATAGTCCGAACACTGATTCCACGTTTCATCATTGGTCCCACAAGAAGTCCCGAAAAGTTAGTAACACAAACACTCACCGCCATGACTAGTGTGATACCAGTAGCGTGTCCCCCAGCCATATCTTTTAAGGTTTCACCAAAAATCAAACCAAAAACAGAGAACAGGGCTTGATTTACCATCTGAAAGGAAGAGCATAACATTACCATAACGTATAAAAATTAAATTATCATAGATTTCAACAGAAAAAAATAGTTTTTTTTTCTTGGATTACAAGATCTAATTCCGGTTTTTCAAAACGGGATTCCTATCCCGAAAATTGGAAACCCCAATTATAATTACAGCTTCAAATATTGCCTAGCTATTGTGAAACATCCAGAAAGCCTTGCCCGACCCATCCAACGCTCGTTAGGCGCGCTACAACAACGTAAGCGCTGTTACAACGCTAAATTCATACGCACGTGCCGCTTCCTCACCTCATTTAACTACCTACCTGACTAGTAAGTCTGGCGGAGCTTCCGTGATTGTAAATGAGAGCAGACATGTATTTTCTATGAAACTATAGTATTATTTGCTTGAGCAGACTTGCTTTTGCCTATAGTTCATGATAGGATTTTATATACACACACCGGAAAAATCTAGGGATATCATTTTATTAAAGTTAAAAATAAATGTTTTGAATAAACAACCACATATTTGTAGGCCGATTCTTTCTACTTCGATTGAAACGAAGTAGTTACACTAGTTATTTCTAAGTTACACTAGTTATTCTTCATTATGGAGCGTAGACATCTTAACAGAGACGAAATGCTAAGGGCCATGGGTATGCTCGAAGCTGGAATGCGCCAAATCGATGTAGCTAGAGCATTAAATGCAACACAAAGTGTAATATCGCGATTAAGTGCACGCTACCGTGAAAGTGGTGATGTTGCTGAAAGGCACACAGGGTGACATCGCATTACTACCCCTCAGCAAGATCATTTTTTACAATTAAATGCTCGACGCCGACCGACTCTTACAGCACCAGAGCTTAGTTTAATTCTCCACGAAACACATAATGTAACCGTTAGTCCTGACACTGTTCGCAATAGATTAAGAGAGGTCAACTTAAGAAGCAGACGCCCCTGGAGAGCTCAACCCTTAACGAGAGGAAATCGAGAGGTACGATATTTGTGGGCTCAAGATCAAGTTAAGTGGGCCAATGTTCTCTTCACGGATGAGTCATGGAGCTGTGGAATTCATCCGGATTCGAGAAGGATTAGGGTATGGAGAGAACCAGAAAATCTTATTCGGTTGGATCATGTTCAGGAAGTGCATCCTTATCAAGGTGGAACAGTTATGGTCTAGGGAGGAGTCCAGTTAGGCCGAAAAACCGATCTCGTTTTTCTTAAAACGTTTCTAACAGGAATCACATATCGTGATTTAATTCTTGAACCTGTCGTGTTACCATATGCCAATGATTTTGGGAGAAACTTCATTCTCATGCATGACAATGCACGGCCTCATACAGCCAGAGTGGTAAGTGAGTTTATCAATGCTCATCAATTAAACATCTTACCCTGGCCGGCACAATCTCCTGACCTCAACCCCCCCGAGCACGTATGGGACGCGGTCCAAAGAAGAATTTTGAGAATGGGTATGCCTCGTGAAACTCGTAGGGATGTGGTTCGGGCCGTGAATGCAGCGTGGCAGGCTGTACCTCAAGAAGAGATTGACAACCTGATCAGGAGCATGGAGAGACGATGTAGGGCTGTAATGAACAGTACAGAAGGCTATACCCTTTACTAAGTAAAAATGGTTTTATCTTTTTTTTAATTCACAGTTTAGAATAAAAAAAATGTGTGTATTTTTTGAGTTCAATAAAAATCAAGGTAAATTTGAAAAATTCGGTAAATTTCGCATTTTTATTTCCAATACGTCCTGTAAACTATTTGTTTATTTTAATTTTATTATATCAGAAATGCAAATAATAAAATTACTGAGGATAGCTGGATAAAATTGTAATATCCCTAGACTTTTCCGGTGTGTGTAGTATAGAGATTTTCTTAAAAATAACGCGATCCAGTTAATATAACTCAGATAAAAATAAATACCGCGTTATGCATGTGATATATAAATTGTCTTAATTAGTTCTTCGTTTAACACAAATACTGATCCATGTTACAAGTCACGTTCCAACCACTCGTGACGCAGATAAAACATCTTAAGTTTTGTTTTCATTCCCAAACGATATCATAGTCAGCAATTAATATTATACAAAACTAGTAAACAATTTAATAAAAATTATACGAAAATAGCACAAGATTAAATAACACATTAAAAAAGAAATAAACATTTTGCCTGATAACTTATTGTTTTTTGTTAATTTGTAAATAATATTTACTACTCAGTTCAGCACTAATAAATTATTACAATTACAAACAGAATTTATTGCCATCCAATTAATAATTCTTAATTTAAAGTCAGATGAGATAAAGGTATTAAATATTAATTTTTTAAATAAATATATGTTTTAGAAAATTTAAATATCGTCAATATTTGGATGAAAATTGGTGTCTGGAAGTTTTTTGACATGAGAAATTTGATGTTGATGTCAATATGGCTCCTACTAGTAGCTATAACTCAGTAATTTTTCGAAGAAAATCTATTATAGCTTATACCGCTGAAAAGCTTAAAAAATGGCGCTTTTTATGAAGTCATGGCCAACTACGGTTTCCTTTTAAAAAAACATATGTTTGTGTCATATGTCAAAAATGACAGGCTTTAGAAAAGAACGGAAGACACAATCCCATTAAGGATGTGATTATCTACAACTTTTATCTGAAAACTTTTTGTCTAAAATAGCTTATAATGGAATTAGGGACAATTTTTAAAATAGCCAAAATTTGTTTTTTTTTCGAAATATCTAGTAAGCCATGAACTTTTTCAAAAATCTGAAAGGCGCATATTTATAACCCCGCAAAACTGCAATTCTTTCCCCATTTAACCGACTCTCCATCTCCAGTAGTTTCCGAGATACCCATAGAGAACATCGTAGGAAACTCACCCTGTATACTACTATTATTTCTTATCCTCTTTGAGCCTTGTATATGTATAATATACACATCAGATATAGAGATATATTGTTGTAAAATGATATGATTATATTTTTTTTTAAATATTATGTTAAATTTGTTTTTGTTGTTAAATATGTTAATTTATAATTACGAATTGTTTACTAATCATCTTAAAAAGCACACAATAAAACATTTTGATTACATTGTATTGAAAATTACATTGTGTAAGATAGATGTTTACTCTGCAAATATCGCCTTATGGGTAATAGGAATATACTGTAGTACTGTTTAAATAACAAAACAGATTAAACGTAGTTATTACGTTTAATAGGTCGTAAACATTTCTTTCTAATCAGCAATTAGGTTAATAAAAAAGCGAAATCGGTCTTGTTAGTTTTGAGATCTTGTATATGACTTCTTTATAATATCCGGGTAATTAATTATTTAACCATACGACGTTTTACACGGAAGTACTTCTACCAATTGTTTTTTTTTTGAATAAGACTGTATGTGTATCGGGTCGATTTAAAAATTTGCGAAGAAATATTTTTTATTACTTACTTACTGTATAATAATTGAGTTATCTTTTAACAACAATCGCCACGGATTGTTATGGTCAAATAGAGGAAATACACACATCTGAAAAGTCTAGGGATATTACAATTTTATCCAGCCATCGTCAGTAATTTTATTATTTGCATTTCTGATATAATTAAATTAAAATAAACAAATAGTTTACAGGACGTATTGGAAATAAAAATGCGAAATTTGCCGAATTTTTCAAATTTACCTTGATTTTTATTGAACTCAAAAAAATACACACATTTTTTTTTATTCTAAACTGTGAATTAAAAAAAAAAGATAAAACCATTTTTACTTAATAAAGGGTATGGCCTCCTCTACTGTTCATTACAGCCATACATCGTCTCTCCATGCTCCTGATCAGGTTGTCGATCTCTTCTTGAGGTACAGCCTGCCACGCTGCATTCACGGCCCGAACCAGATCCCTACGAGTTTCACGAGGCATACCCATTCTCAAAATTCTTCTTTGGAAAGCGTCCCATACGTGGTCGGGGGGGTTGAGGTCAGGAGATTGTGCCGGCCAGGGTAAGATGTTTAATTGATGAGCATTGATAAACTCACTTACCACTCTGGCTGTATGAGGCCGTGCATTCTCATGCATGAGAATGAAGTTTCTCCCAAATTCATTGGCATATGGTAACACGACAGGCTCAAGAATTAAATCACCATATGTGATTCCTGTTAGAAACCTTTCAAGAAAAACGAGATCGGTTTTTCGGCCTAACTGGACTCCTCCCCAGACCAACTGTTCCACCTTGATAAGAGTGCACTTCCTGAATATGATCCAACCGAATAAGATTTCCCGGTTCTCTCCATACCTTAAGCCTGGATGAATTCCAAAGCGTGACTCATCCGTAAAGAGAACATTGGCCCATTGTTCATTCGACCACTGAACATGATCTTGAGCCCACAAATATCGTACCTCTCGATTTTCGGAGTAAGTTGAACAAGTTAGTTAAGTTGACCTCTCTTAATCTATTGCGAACAGTGTCAGGACTAACGGTTACATTATGTGTTTCCTGGAGAATTAAACTAAGCTTTGGTGCTGTAAGAGTCGGTCGGCGTCGAGCATTTAATTGTAAAAAATGATCTTGCTGAGGGGTAGTAATGCGATGTCGCCCTGTGTGCCTTTCAGCAACATCACCACTTTCACGGTAGCGTGTACTTAATCGCGATATTACACTTTGCGTTGTATTTAATGCTCTAGCTACGTCGAGTTGGAGTTCGGCGACGAGAACGAGCGCTCGTCTTTGTTTGTTGATGGACTCTTTCTACCAGATCATTTAGAGCTCGGCAATGCCCGCATGAGTGGACGGAAAGGCGAAGTCCGATGGCGAGCGTAGGATGTAGAATATTCTGTTATGAAACGACTGATGGAATAGCAGGCATCGCGGATTTGAAAAACATTGAAATAACGGGGTTGGAGATTTTATTTGCTCCATTTACCACACCAGTATTTATTAACGAATTTTACTTAGTCGGGGTTGGAGATTTTACTTACTCCATTTACCACACCAGTATTTGTTAACGAAAAATCCAAGAATATTTTTAATGCATTATTTAATATTAGAACATTTAATAAGCTCATGAATAGCAACTTTGCTTTTTAGTTAACTCGGATATTTTAACATTTCTGAAACAATATTTTCTAATTGGTAAAACGTAAAAAATCGTTAGATCTGACAACTATGCTGAAACTGGTCGTTCATCTGGCCGCAGCTATACGCCATGCATCCGGCCAGCCGACGACCAGGTCGTTGCGACATCGTTTTTTATATGAAAAAATAAAAAGTTAACACCGGGTATATTGATATATTATTATCTAAAGGAATTCATAAAGTCGATAAAAACACAATTCAAATATTTGATCTGTAAAAAAAATGTTTTTTTGTAAAAAATACGGAACTGATTAATTAAACTATTTATCGAAAGGTCAGATAAAATTTGCCATTTTTACTTAATATTAACAAATACTAAATTTAATATACCCCTGATAACCCCAAGCAAACGTCACGTGAAATACGAAGTAAAAATAATTAATCGTCCTTTGAAATCTGTTTTTAAATCATTTATTTTTCGAAGCTAATACAACCCGAAAATCACGTTTACTTAATGATTGAACGTGCGTATGTCTCGTGTTTTGAAACTGATAACAAGCGAATATATTATAATGTATGTCTAATTAAGACAGATATATTATTACTTATTATTAACTATTATTCATGAAATTATAAAAAAGAGATGAATAAATATCTGTGTTTATCGAAACATCATTCATTATAACTTTATTAATTTTCACAAGTGTTTATTAGATGCACATTATCTCCATCTCATTAAATAATTAGATAAACTTTGAGAGACCCAGTGGCGCGCCTTTAATGTTAAGAAACTTTATAATTTTACACGTTTGATGTTGATCACACAGGATTTTTTTTAATTCTTGAAAATATTTCAAAACAAGACAAGAAATTGCTTGTCAAGACAAGATTTCTTGTCTTGCCGATCCCTAAGAAGCACTGTAAAGTAATGATCAACAACTGCAACAAACTTAAATACTTACGTTTATCAAAGCTGCGCCTAAAACAACCATCCATCCCCAACCCCCATCGGGAGACGATTCGGGTGGATGATTCTTGGTATCAATTTTCTCTGCCATTATAATGAGCCTCGATCACCACTTTACAAACCTGAAACAAATAAAACATAATAAAATATATATACAGTTAAAACTTATTTGACCTCTGACAGTTTCCATTTATCTTTCTGCATGCATCTAATACATTTTAATTGAGAAGAATACCATTGTCGAACGATCAAAACAACTTTGATTTCAAAACAACATTTAATTGGAGGAAGACATTGATAACATTATTTGTGTATTAAAGGAAAATGGTTCAGCATTTAATATCGGCAATTAAGAAGCCGAAAATCGATAAAGATTAAATAACTATATTTTTACAGTTTTAATATATTTTTAATATTACGGATAAATATATATATATAAACGGGATTTGGTTTAAGTATTTAATACTCATTTCCAACTACAGCCTATTGCTGCCTTCCCGTTACCCTACGCCACACATCTCGATTTAGAGCGTCATCAGCTTCTAGGTTACGAGCTTCCATTGCTTCCGTAACCGTTCCGTTCCACGATTTTCTAGGTCTACCTCTCTTTCTTCTGCCCTGGGGAGCCCATTGAAAAACTCTTTTTGGCCACCTGTTCTCCGGCATACGCAGAACATGTTTGAATTTTCTCACGAACTTCGTAAACATCCATTATTTTACTTAAAAAATAAATTTTAAACGAGAGCTGTAGCGAGAATCTATGTATTCGTTTTGGCTATTAAAACACGAATAAATACAAATTCTGTAACATTCTTATCACATATCTACCTATTTTTATTTTATCGCATTTTTTCGCCTGCTTTTTATCCGTCGGACGGGTATACGCTAATTCGTCCGGTTCTGCCTATGTTACTACTATGGTGGTCCGGTCTGTATAACCAGTTCCTAACTATCTTCATAAATTCTTTACCATGTTGTTGAGACTGTGTGTCAACATAATTCCAGAATTATTACTTAAATCTATATAATCAAAACATTACTTGTATCGAAGGTTAAAAATGTGGAATTTTTATTAGAATAAACATATTATTTTTGCTTTTTCAGTTGCCGAAATAATTTTTATTAGTTGTTTGATAATTAATTTTTAGTTTTTAGTCATTATGTTGGTGTTTAATTAATGTATAAATGGTATTATAAGATTCCCTTTCCTTATTTATTTAAATAAATAAATGGAATCCTATCTAGTAAACGTTTGTTGGCGTGAAAAGTATTTAGTAGGTACTAAATGACACTACAAAAATAAACCCTCAGTTACCCATAGGGGATAATAGGCCATAAGAAACGTTTAACAATAGAGTTCTCTAATAATTTTGGTTAATCAGAGCTGTATGTACGTTTAAAATAAACAGTACAAATGGAAATGACAAATAATTGGTAAATCAATCTCGTCCAGTTTCAGCTTCATTTCCAGATGTATGATTGATTGACAACACTTCAATATTAACATCACAAAATCGGTCATGTTTAATTCAATCAACCTCATCTGTCAGGATTAATATTTAATAGTATGGTCAAATATGTAAATTAGGTATATTTTTACTTTCTTGGGCATTGCTGATTATAATTTTGAATTTGGAATGGATTTAAAATATTTACTTTTTGATGGGCATCTTCTTTTATTATTAATTAGGTACTAATAATTAAAGAATAATTTGTCCATCAATCAGCATATATTTTAAACTTGCTTCTTTATTTACTAAAAGGGTTTTAGAGATATTTAGTGTCATATTTGCAGGCTATTGGAGACGACAATTGGTATGTTAGTAGAGATGACAAAAAACGACATTTGGTATGTTAGTATATGACATAAATTAGGATTGATTGACGTATTCAATTCTTTTTTGCCACTTCCTGTTTCACCGGAAATGACCACAGCTTTTGATTTTTAAATGGTACCCTCGGTATTTTTTTTACTTTATTCGATAGAAAATAACATTCTGAACAGAATGACATATCATATGTCAACTTTTGACATTTTCGCTTAAAACAAAATTGAATTTTAAATTTCAATCTACGAGTGCCATGGCTGTAAAATACTAATTTTTAATCATGGAGCCTTGGAAAAATAGATTTGATCGTCTAATTTTATTCGTGTCTGGTCCTAGCCGGTTAAAAGATACCCAAATCGTATTTTTAATCATATTTTTTTTCAAATGGAACGAGGTTGGCTCATTAGCATATTTGGAAAAAGCATTTTTTTACGAATAATTTGGTACCACACACTTGGTATTTCGACTCAAATTGGCGTTATGAATCGCATGTTGCAATTTCTAATAAACAATATTTGAAAATGTCAAAAGTTGACATATGATATGTCATATTTTATTCAGAGTGTCATTTTCTATCGAATAAAGCAACAAAACACCGAGAGTACCATTTAAAAATCAAAAGTTGTAGTCGTTTCCGGTGAAACAGGAAGTGACAGAAAACAACTGAATACGTCAATCAATCCTAATTTATGTTATATATTAATATACCAAATTACGATTTTTTATCTAAAAAAATAAAAAAGTTATAGGGGTGAGCCACTTTTGGGACGCACCCGGTATAAAAGACGATCAGAAAGTTAAGAAAAATATTTAACTTCAATATTAATAATATATACCGTATGATCGAGAAAAAACGGCGTCAGCGATGGCTATGGAATGAAGATCGCTGTCATTTTAAATGTAAATTTATATGGGAAATGTCATTGATGTTCATTTCCCAGCCAACTGGACGCCGTTTTTTTTCGATCATACGGTATTAATATATTATTAATATAGATATATCTTTCTTTTTCTTAAACCCTTATTAAATATTTTAATTTTGATTTTCTTGGGTATAGGTTTTTTTTATTAAAAATTAAATGATTTCTGGGTGTTTTAAATCACTTTTATTTTTGCCCTATTGCTGACGTTTCGATTTTTTTTGTAAATCTCTCTAAGTGTTCAAATTCCACATACTTTAGGCTACTTGAAGGAATTACTGAGCTTACATCGTTATGTATGAAAGAAAATTGTTTTCAATTTAATAACAACTTTTTTGAACAGCGGGAAGGTACAGTAATAGGTAATCCATTGTCTCCATTTTTGGCTAATTTATTCATGAGCAGGTTTGAAGTGGAGGCTAAGAATCAGTTTGAGTATTTTCCAAGAGTATGGTTTAGGTATGTGGATGATATTTTTGCTGTTTTTGACACACATTCAGACACCATAGATAATTTTATTTCTAAGTTAAATAATCGTTTTCCTTCCATTAAATTTACGCATGAAAATTGAGAACAACAACAGATTACCATTTCTAGATGTATTAGTTATTAGAAATACTAATAATTGCCTGGAATTTGATATCTATAGGAAAAATACCACCACACGCAGATATATTCCTAATGAATCACAGCATAGTGTTGAACATAAAATGGCTAGTTTAAATTTCGTAGTTCATATATTACTTAGTTTCCCACTTTCCAACGAAAGATATGAAATAGAAAGAGATTACATTAGGAATGTAGCTGAGTGTAATGGATATTCTCCTTCACTAGTTGATAAATTAATTAGAAAACGTAGGTATACGTTAATGATTTCTGAAAATTGACTTTTCAAGCGGAGAAAGATACGTCTAAATATTTTTCAATACCGTTTGATAGAGAGTTATCCCGTGGTCTAAAAGGAATTTTTTAAGAATGTCAATTATAAACTTTTGTATAGTGCTAATAATAAATTACAACAATTATTAGGTAATCCAAAGGATAAAACACCTCCACTGGAAAGGTCGGGTATTTATGAAATTTCTTGTAAAGATTGTAATCAGAAATATGTTGGGCAAACTAGAAGATCAATATTAACTAGATTTAAAGAACATTTAGCTCAGATAAGATATGGTAGACCGGATAAATCTTGCGTTGCCGAACATATTGTTGATAAAGAACATTGTATAGATCTTAATAATTTAAAATTAATTAAACAAGTCTCAAATTACAGGCAATTAGATGCATATGAAAGCATCAGAATTAATAAATGTAAAGATAGTATGAACAGAGTCAACGGCCCAATTCCTTCAAGTTCTTTGTTCCTACTACTCTAGTGGCGGAAATTAACTGTTACGCTCAGTTGGCTCTGATTCGGTTGGCTAGATTTTGCCACGCCCACTCGGTACCTACTGGGCGAGTATACAAACGCTCAACTTAGATTGTACTTTAGTTTATAATCATCTGCTGATGATGCTAACATGGTTAGCGAAACGCGCGTCCAGTGTAAAAGTAAAAGTGTTTTGGTGTATTGTGGTGATTTAGTGTAATTTTATTTTGAAATCTCTTTTTTTCAAATTTTTATTTTGTTTTGAATTCGGCTAAAGGTATTGCGGCGGGTTGCTGATGGCTACCTCCTGCACCGTTTGCTTCTTGGTTTCTATTTTTTTGGGATCGTTGTCATCGCTTGCTAATTCCTTACCGTACTGATGATGCTGGAAGGCAGTTACACTAGTGTACACTGATGTAGGTGTGGTTGTTGTGTGTATGTTTACAATAGGGTACACTGGTGTATACGGTTACGAGTTTGTTGAGGGCTTTGCCGACTAATTTTTCCTTCTGTTTCTATATATTCCCCTCACTATTTCAATTTTTATTTTATATAAATAATATAGTAATCCAATTTACTAGAGCCAATAAAAGAAGAAAATGTAAAATTGTTTCTAATTAAGTTACTAAATAGACAAGATAATTCAGTAAATAAATAACATGTATAGAAATTTAACTAGGTAAATGCTTTGTCATAATATGTTAAAAATAAATTGGTTCTAGCTAAAAATAAAACAAAGCTGATCAAATAAGTTGCACATTCTGACAGAATCTAGACAACAAAGTAATTAATTAATAACAAAAGAAAGGTTATTCAATATCCATTCTTAATTAGAAAACCGCTGATTTATTAATGGAAATATTTCTACATAGGGAACAAGAGACGAAGATAAAGTTGACCTATCTCAACATTTGATTTGTTACTCAAATACTATTAACAGAATTAGTCAGTCAGTAAAGTAATAATAATCTATTTTGATTTCCTCGTATTTTATTTCTATTCGG